CAAAGTCCAGTAAACCCCCCTGAAAATATTGATGTAAGAATACTCAAGGCACAGGTTTTCTAATTCATTGTGAAAAATAGCATAAATGGGAAAATACTCAAACATTTTGTTTATAGATTGTTTTGAATTGATAGAYGGTGTCTAATTTCAGGCTGAGTATGAAGCGGTGGACACCACAGACATGGAACAAACTGGCGTACAYCTTCCAGAACTTCAGTCTCCACTTGACAGTGAGGATTTGGAAAGAATAAGCCACCTTTTCAATCCCATGGAACTCTCCATGTCCTATGGTGCTGACATTTACAGTTCACTTGTCCAGTATGTGGAAGGCATTGTTGAATCCAGACAGGATGTCTAGAATAGCCTAGAGCAGGGCTGTTCAACTGGCAGCCTGTGGACCACATCCCGCCCACGAGTGGACCAAGTGGTTCATTTATCTCTTAAGCCCAAACCCTTGGTTTTCTACTTTAATTCCTGTAAGTTCTTTAAAGTAGAAAACCAAGGGTTTGGGCTTGAGAGATAAATTCCTATAAGTTCTTTTGGTTAGACATAGGCATGTTTGGTATCTACAGAAACACCAGAATCTTGGCTACAAGCTGGTAAAAACCCTTTTTATGAACATCCAAGACAGATACAACTACAAGCAGTTGAAGATAAAACTATGAAAGTGAAAATAAATTTGATTTGAAAATTTGGCAAGTCAGAGATGTCAAAATAAATTTGTTAAATAGAAGGCATAATGTGTTATTTTTTGATATTGTTGTTTTTGATGTTTGTTGTTATATTGATGTTGTCACTACTTTGATAAGTTCTGTCTGTTGTCTTTACTGTATGATCAAATGCAGCAAAATGAACTATTTCAAATGTAACAGATCTTTGTATTACTTGGTTTATTTACGTAACGACCTTAATGGCTGGATGTTCGGCCCTTCAGCTCTTGGCCTGCGTCAACTGTGGCCCCAGGATCAGTTTAGTTGAATAGCCCTGGTCTACAGTAATGCTCCAAATTAAGACAGATGTTCATATTTCTGTCGAATTATGAGGGCAATTTGTATATAAACTGTTCGAAAAAAAGTCTGCATCAATATTTCAGTTTTAATTCAATTTTTTTTTTTTTGTCAATTGAATTTCTGGAAAATGTTATGAAATGTAAAGGTAATAGAAAGCCAACTTCATAAATACTATTGTATTTCAAATTAAATGAATCTCTTGTACACCACTTTTATGAATTTGCTTCAAACTACTTCTGATCTTACTACAGCTCTGCTGCAATGTATGGTATTCTGTTCCTAATGTCATGATTTTAGCCTATTATCTGCCAAGTCAAGCCACAGTCAAGCTTACACTCATTGTCTCACCCCTACCGTCACAGAAACATCTAATCAGCATCATGTCACTCACCTGTTCACTGCAGTATTTAAGCTCCACTCTCCCTCTTCACCAGTGCCAGATTTATGAACGGTTTTTCCAAGTAVTTATCCAGCATCCMTGTCACGTCTTGCCTTCCTCGTTACGACCTTGTTTTTGCTCTCTGGATTCACGCCTCTTGCCTCATCCCTTAACGGTACTGTATCGGATTCTGATCTCCTGGTTTTGACCCACGCACTCCTCTCTGGACTTCTGCCTCCCGTCGCCTCCCCTGTCGGATCTGTTCAGTCATCTGTCTCCCGGATTCTGACCCACGCCTGTGTACATCGACCACGAGTAAAGTCCAGTCCTCAGTACCTGTCTCGGATCTCTGACCACATGTGTATGACCCAAGCCTGCCTCACGGAAAAACCCCGAGTTCRTAAACTCAYTCAARCCCCGCAACCCGGAAGTRCTTYCACCGGACTTCAYCYAAGACTCTCAAAGTCTTTCAAGAGTACTGTTGGGACTTCCTGTACTCTAAAAAGGTTAGTGGCTAAATCTTCTTCTAAATCTGTTCTTGTGAACATTCTAGCCACTAACCTAATTCTCTCCTGTGTAGAACTCCTGATTCCAGTGACGTTTGTTTCCCGATCCAGCTTTTTATATTTTAATAAAAAACATTAAAACCATTCTGGTGTCTGGCAAGTCAGTGAAACTCATACACTCAATCATTACAGTAAATCTGGCCACTAAGAGTTTCACGCCGACACCAGAAAAACAGTCTGGGATCTTTAAAAAACAAAGTGAATCTGCTCCYRATTGTTTTTCTGCCAACTCAAAAGAATCTGTTTTCAGGAGCGATCCTCTGGCGCCATCTGCTGGACAAACAAGGTCTTCACAACCTAACGTCATGTTTAATCCCTGCAGTGAGCCCAAACTTTCTCCACCTGAGAAGTTTGATGGGGCACTGCTGAAAAATCTTGAAGTCTGTATAAAATATGGAGGAAGTCATTGTTCTCTATAGATATGGGAGGATGAGGAAGGATTGATTCAAGTTCTGGTGTGGAACTGTTAAGTTTCTGCTACACTCAGATAAATATTTTTACTTATGTATTTTAACTGAAATATCGGCTTCATTCAAAAAATGCCTCAGTCCGGAAATGAGACCACGTCGTAAAATGCAGTTGAAACGAGCTTACCTCTGACACTCCTCCATGCTTCAGAGCAAGATAGTAACAGATCCAAGCAGGTGACATGGTGTGGAAAAAAATGGGGGAAAAGAAGTCCTGCATAACGAACTAAGGGCATTAATGTGTGACCGAGCCGCTCCTAGAACAACAATGTTCGTTTCTAATGGCTGCTGTCTACCAGTGTTCTGAAAAAGTTTGTGTCCCTGAAAAAAGTTTCCCCACCAGAGGGGGCGCTTGTGAGTAGAAAGTAATCTGCTTTCCCCCCACAAGATGGCCCAAATCTCATGTGAAGTCTCTGACTTTTGTGTTGGCGCCTCCTGGTGGACTATGATGCTCAAAATCATAGTTTGCTGATATATATTTGTTCTCAAAATACCTTTTAGTACATACGTTGTTAAAATAAAACGAACAGTCCAATGATCATTTTACTGAGAGGGATAAAGGCTGCAAAGGCTGAAAAATCTTGAAGTCTGTATGAAATTGGAGATAGTTTGAGGAATAATTTTTTTCTGCATTTTAAGCTATAAAAAGTGGGTGTCGTATTATACATGAGATCGTATTATACACGAATAAATACGGTAGTTTTGTTATCTAAGCTGAAAAAAAATATTTTGATGTTTGAAGTGTATAAGAAGAATAAAAGGAAATGAAAAACTCCCCATTATTTACAGGTTTTACGAAAAAACTGAGCACTGAAACAATGAACGTCAGTAGGAGTGTGCATTGTCAGTTTGCTCTCTGAGCCAATTTAAAGGAAAACATTAAGTCCTAGGTCCTACTTGTGGTTCCAGAACCAGAATGAGCATAAAACAACAAATAGCAAGAAATATTACTAGCATATTTATAATGGCAAACACTTAAATCAATAAGAGCCAATTTATAAAATGTCAGATATTTTAAGAGCATGGAAGATATTTTTAGTAGTATATGTTGGCCTAAATACAAGAGATCCCAATTTCCCATTTRAAAAAGGTGAGCTGTAGAAGGACATGGTGTTGAATTTAGCCAAAAGCGTTGACATGCTGAAACCCTCCAGTAGCCACAAGACCTTCCTTCCAGCTTCTCCCCAATCCCAACCCAGCAGGCCTTGCTGTTCCAATAATTGAGTGAGTAATGGACTTATTCCGCTGAGTGGTTCTCCGGGTGTACTCTGTACTGGGATGTAAATCTTGTGGCAAATGGCAGATTAGAAGAGGAGGCAAAAAAGAAACTTGGGAAGTAAATAAAAGCAGAAAAAAACAAGAACAAAAGGAAATCCAATAATTCCCACTCTTTTTCTTTTTTATTCTGTGTGTGCATGTGTGTTAATCCTCTTTTTATTTTCTTTCCCTTCAGATTTCCTAAAATCATCCATGACCACTTCTTAATCTTACCTCTGTCCAGACACACAGTCTGGCTGAGTACTGGACTCCAGCCACTTATTTTTAGTGGGATACAGTGATAACAATAATCCCCTTTATTCCAGTGGCACCACCACATTGTAAACTTTAACAATCAACTTGTACAATGAAACCAGTATTCATGAATCCATCAGTGGCCTCAGCTCAATCCCATCCCTGTCAGATCCTTTCAACTTTTTCAATGCCTATCAGAATGAATAGTTTGGACTAGGACTACAGAACATTCTAACAAATGCGCTCAACTTTTGTCTCCTCTCTTCGTCCACCCACAATCTCTTTCATCTCCACACGACTCACTTTGTAATTCTAACTTCTTGTTTTTTTAATTCTCATTTTAACTGCCTGCTCTGCCAGAGTCTGGGTCCCGCAACATTTGTTTGGCTGAAAGAAATGACTAATTAAAATAAGCCTTCACCTCAAAAGTATACAGCTCTGTCCAGACCCCACACAATTACTAGCCTACGATCAGAAAGCTTTGAGTGAAAACAAGCAGTCTCAAATCAAAGCAAACATGTGGGCATAGAGCGCAGAGTTCTGCTGCAAGTCGCCAAGCGCAATATTTTTTCACTGCCTTGACATGTTGATGGTACAGTGGAGATAGTAGCTGTGCTAAATATTGTTTTTACACCGGAAGACTGCAGGATTTTGCCAGGGGCCAATGAAAATACAGATTAAAAAATACAATACAATTAGAATACAGATGACTCTTGGTGTAATTCCATTCAGCCATGATTTACATTTAGAGCAGTCACCAAAGCCTGCCACTCTGCACTCACACAGGAAATCGACGCTGACTTTGACCTAATGAGAAAAGTGAACCTCCCAAACGAGACCCTCATCTAAAAGGTATAACTTGTAACTTTGCCCATACTATGAAAGCCCTTTCAGCTAATTACCCATTGACAGGGGAGAATTACGGAAGCCCTGAAAGGCAAGGAGGGAAAAACATTTTTTTGAAGACCCATATTCTAAATCTGATCAAATTTTGTGTTTCTCTTGACTTTGACAGTCATAAGGCGAGTAAAAAATAAATATAATAATATTAATAATAATAATATTAAAT